TGGTCTCCAGATGACCAAGGTCGGTTCCCCCTGAAGAAAATGGCTGCTTTGGACTCTATTGCATTAGACCCTGTTCCTCCCCCAGCCCCGCCCTCCCCCAGGCTCCACCCCCAAATCTCCAGGAAGATCCCAACCCGGAGTTGGCAACCCGACAATGAGACAAATCAGGATCAGTCCCCAGCTGCAATCTCCAAAAAGCTGTATTCTCCTCACCGATGGCGTCAGTGGTCCTGGGTTGGTCCCGTGGCCACCGTAATGTCTCGTTTGTGGCATCATGGTTAAGAACATCAGACTGACATCTGGGAACAGCATTGCCAGGTCTTACCTGGCTTCTGGCAGGGGGGAAGTGTTCCTCCATCAGTCTGGGATATCTTCGGCGCGTGCAGTTCATGCGCACGCCACGATGACGTCACGGCATTGCACAGGCCACGTTGCGGCGGATGCCCTATTGTTTAAGGGGAAACTCTATGGTTAACCATAGAGTTTCTTCCTGGACAATAGAGCGTCCCCCCTGCAACGCGCCCTGCACAATGACATCTCCTCTGGGTGACGTCACTGTGTTGGGCATGTTGGCGCAAAGGATGCACTTTGGGGGCAGGGTTTCCCCACTGGCCGGATTGGGGCCGGCAGACCAGGGGGGGCAAAAGCGGGCAAACCCCCGCCCCCGTTGGGGGAATGGGAACCCTATCTGGGAGACCCATGTTCGAATCCCCACTTGCGCCACGGAAGATGGCTGGGTGACTTTCGGCTGGTCGCACACACTCTCAGCCGACCCGACCCCACAGGCTTGTTGGGAGGATAAAATGGAAGAGAGGAGGATGAAGAAGAAGAGAACAGATTGGATTTATACCCCGCCTTTCACTACCCAAAGGAGTCTCAGAGCGGCTTACAATCTCCTTTCCCTTCCCCTCCCCACGACAGACACCCTATGAGGTAAAAGAAGAAGAAGAGATTGGATTTATACCCCGCCCTTCACTACAAAGGAGTCTCAGAGTGGCTTACAAACTCCTTTCCCTTCCCCTCCCCACCACAGACACCCTGTGAGATAAAAAAGAAGAGGAGATTGGATTTATACCCCGCCCTTCACTACCCAAAGGAGTCTCAGAGTGGCTTACAAACTCCCTTCCCTTCCCCTCCCCACCACAGACCCCCTGTGAGGTAAAAGAAAAAGAAGAGGAGATTGGATTTATTCCCCGCCCTCAAGAACAGCTCTTATCAGAACTACGGCTTGCCTAAGGTCATCGAGCAGGTGCAAGTGGAGGAGTGGGGGATCAAACCAGGTTCTCCCAGATTAGAGACCGCGCACTTCATCACTACACCAAACTGGCTCGGATGACATAAGCCACTCTGGGTCCCTGTCTGTGGTAAAGGCGGGGTATTAACAAAGTAAGTCACTAAATAATAAGTAAAAACGAGGGCGTGCCCTTTGCAGTTGTACGTCTCTGCAGCCCCCACGGGCCAGCGCGGAAGGGAGCGAAGAACCTCCCTCCTGCCAATCAGACGGAAACTCCCGCCAGCCTCTCTTCCCCCCACCCCCCACCATCCCTTTAATGCAAGTGGAATTGATTCCTGTAGGAAACTCTGCCTTTCAGTGAGTCAGCCACAGGTTCGAAAGAGGCTCCAATTAGGGGTGGGGAAGAGTCTCTGGAGAATTCAGTTGCCAGCTCATCCCAGACATATGGGAAGGGGGGG